CATTGGATGTGGCTCTGGCTCTGCTTCTTTTTCTTTTCTTTTTTTTTTTTTTAAGATTAGTTTGTTTAGTTGAAAGGCAGAGTTACAGAGAGGCAGAGGCAGAGAGGTCTTCCATCCACTGATTCACTCTCCAGATGTCTGCAACAGCCAGAGGTGTGCTGATCTGAAGCCAGGAGCCAGGAGCTTCTTCCAGATCTCCCACGCAGGTGCAGGGGCTGAAGGACTTGGGCCATCTTCTACTGCTTTCCCAGGCCATAGCAGAGAGCTGGATCAGAAGTGGAGCAACTTGGACTTGAACTGGCACCCATAAGGGGATGCTGGCTGGCACTGTAGGTGGCAGCTTTACCTACTACACCACAGCACCAGCCCCTGCTTCTGATTCTAACTTCATACTAATGTGTACCCTGGAAGGCAGCAGGTGATGGCTCAAGTACGTAAGTTCCTACCACTCATGAGTGAGACATGGATAGAGTTCCTGGCTCCTGGTTTCAGCCTGAGGCAGCCCTGACTACTGTGGGCATTTGGGGAATGAACTAGTAGATGGAAGATCTGTCTCTCTCTTGTTAGACTTTTCAAATACAAATTTCAAAAATGGTAAAATTAAAAATAGGAAATTTAGTTATATGAAGAAAATAGATTTAACACTTTTTTTAAAAAAAGTAAAGTTTACAGTCTGAAACAAAAACAATAATAACTTAAGTGATGCTGTCTCACCCCAGGTAAAGAGTGAAAGAATACAAAAGCACTTTGAATCTCTTTTGCTGCTTGCCTGTGTGGTTGTACAAGTTGATCTCATTCGGCTTCAGCTTTTTTATTAATGAAATAGAGATAATAATCATGTCACAGAATTATGTCATGAGTCTCTACATACATGTATATGAATAGTTATACATGTGTGTATTATCTAGTACTTTGGTATGCAAATAGTTCCAGATCAGTAGCATGAGCATGACCTTGAATCTCAGCTTCATGGAGACTTCTTGGAGTCTGCATTTTAACAACAGTCCTGAAAGATTCCTTTGCACACTACATATAAAGTACTTCCCAGTCTAACACAGTAATTTGTTCAGAATCATGCTCAGTTAATTCAGTCTTTCTTCTTTCAAATAACTTTTTAAAGAATTTATTTTCATTCTTTAAATTCAAAGGCTGGGAGGGGGCAAAGGGGAGGAGGGGAGAGGGAGAGGGAGAGGGAGGGGGATGGGGATCTTCATAGGCTAGTGTACTCTCTAAATGCCCACAACAGCCGGGACTAGGCTAGCCAAAGACAGCAGCACAGAGCTTCATCTGACTCTCCCATGTAGGCAGCAGGGACCCAGCCACTTGAGCTAGCACCTGCTGCCTCTCTGGGTGCATGTTTGCAGGAAGTTAGAATAGAGCACAGCTAGAACTGGAACCCAGAAACTCTGATATGGGACGTGGGCACTCCGAGCATCATCTTAACTGCTGTACCCTTTAAATTAGGTAAGTTTTAACTCAGAAATCTGCCTCCCTTCACATAAAAACATAAAGAACCCACCAATAACTACAACCACAAAATATGGGATTGGCATGTTTCTCAGTGGGTCTCCTATCTCGTAATCCTTGCCAACAAAATATATGATAGAGATTCCCTCCTCTTTTACATTAGTTATGTTCGCTTGTTGAAACAGGATGCTGAAATGGAGTTTTGCGCAAGACTCCAAGACACCAAATACACATGAATTTACAAAGACAGAAGTAAGCCAAAGAGTGGATTTGGGACAGAGGATGTCTTGGGAGAAGGTTTTGCTGTGAGCCATGCCTGGAGTGCCAGGTACCTGCTCCTCTTCATCAAGCTCAAGGATGAAGAGGCTTCCAGGGGTGTGTAGGAAGCTTAATTAATGACTCCCACAGGAGGTTTTGTGTGATCCAGCTCTTACCAAGTATATTTAGAAGACAAAAAAAAATGCAAGTTGTTGCCTTGGTTTTGGGTCCAGTAGAAGAGACAACATTGGGGTTTACCAAAACTATCCATGCATAGTTTTTTCATAATGCATATTTTCCTTTCACCTTTTGGAGACCTAATATATTTCTATAGGTTATCATGGACCTAGTCAGTGTTATGCTGAAAGATGGATCCTACCTGTCGCTCCCCCTCTTCGTGGAGGAACGACACAGGACCCTGCGCTGTTCTTTCGTCTGCTCGGCCCTCCCCGGGTTTGCTGCTGGTTCTTCCCGGGTTGGCTACTATCCCTTCCACCTCCGTGGAAGGGCAGTTCCCCCTGGCCACATTCCCCACTTCCGCAGGGGAGCGGCACACCGCCGGCCGGGTCTCTCGGGGGCTGCACAGGTGTTCCTCTTAGATGTTCCCCATAGATGTTCCTGGTGCATGCCGTCTCTCTCCTCCTTTATAGTCCTCCTCCGCCAATCCTAACTCGGCTGCCCACACGCCGAGTACGCTGCTCTCCAATCAGGAGCAAGTCCTACAGTTTATCAGTTGAACTGGAGGCAGCTGTGCGGAAGCTGTTTACTTCTCTCCCAGCGCCATATTGTGGGAGAGCAGATGCATAGAATAAGTCTTAATTCCAGTAACTCAGTCTAGTCCGGTTTGCTCCCCACACTACCAAGAAAAATGAAACAACAAAATGACAAAAACAGGTCTTCTCCCACCACTGCTTTGTAGCAATAGTCAGCTTTCGTGGTGGAAATATGTCTACGTGGCTCTTAGGATCTATTAGAAGCTATCAACTTGACATCATTGAACATGGAGTTGGGAACAAGCACACACAGGTCACTCTCATGGGGCTGGCTGCAGCACACCACTGGAGAGAGAGGGAGGCAGGGGAGGGAAGAGAGAATACAGCAACCATGGCAGGGGGATCCTTACTTCAGTAAGATGGAAAATTCATAGGCAAGCACTTGGATTAAAAGCACACACCTTCACAGCAAATTGACAGCAATTAGAGCAGCTAATCAGAGATTCTTTGAAAGACCCAGAAAAGTACTTTTTTGGAACAGAGTCAGCTTTAAGAATCTGCAGGTGGGTGCAGACTGCGAAGGCTGGTGGCCACAGGGCATTGCCTCACCTGTCCTCCTTCCTTGCCAGCAAACTTGGGGAAACTGACCCACACTGGTGGAGGGAGAAGAGTTGGTGTTAAATCTATTTTACAAAAAATTATTCCCATCTCAGACTATACGTGGTAAATATGAATTGAGGTTGTGTTTGCCTTAAAGTGATTGTAATTCTGTTTATTATCTAATAGTGAGCCTGGAGTTTTTCATTTGCTGGTGGAAATTGCTCCTAATCAATAAGGTTTAGAGAATAATTCTGGGAATAAAAATATTTTTCAATTAAGCTACAGATTGTGCTAATTCAGTACAGCAGTTACACAAATACCTTTAAGTTCCATTTTCTAACTAAGTCTTAAGCTAGAGGTCTAACCGCAACCCACAGCGAATACTCCCTGCTACTGTCTTCCCAATTCCTGTGTACTTGATAGTATGTTGTATAGTAAATTGTTAATAGGCTCTTGTGAATCTTTGAAGGTTTTCTTACTATTACATGAATATTCTCATGAGGTTAAAGTTTATTTCTACTTCTCTAACTTTGCCTTTGCTAAAACCTAATTCTTATTGTCTAGCAGAGAGTACTGTTGATAAATGCTTATTGAAAAAATAGAATAATATTTTACTTTCAGTCATTTTTTAAATAAAGCAGAAGTGAATGAAAATGCATGCATATCAAAAGGAGAAATTACTGTGTAACTTTCTTATTTAAGCCTGGAAAATTTGATCCTTTAACATGAAGGGTATTATAGGAAAAATAATTTTTAAAATGTTTTTTCATGTTGTATTTTTGAAAATGTCATGTTTGCAATGGACATGACTGCTGAAGCTAGACCTTAGATTTTATTACCTTTTAGGTTTACAAACTATAATGTTTCCTTTCATTGGCATGCAGTAGTATTATATCTCCTGAATGAACAAGGTAATTTCACATCAGTCATAGTGATTGACTATGTTATATTGCAGAATCTATGATAAAAGGCATTTTTTTGGAAAATGCTATGTCCCAACATACTTAACAATATGTTAGGGGCTTCATGTTATTTTTATTGGATTTTAATTTTAAATTTTATTATGTTTTTATTACGTTCCAAACTGTTAGACATACTCAGCTGCCTTCATGGTTGTACCCAGGTCGGTGCTCTGTGCCTGATCTGTGCATAGTAGGTGCTTAACAGGGCTGGATAGCACTGTCTTGGCTCTTCCATAACTAGACCGAGAATACGGTCAAATGACATGGACTCTAAAGTTTTTTAAAGATTTATTTATTTTTTGAAAGAGTTACACAGAGAGAGAGAAGAGAGGCAGAGAGAGATCTTCCATCCGCTGGTTCATTCCCCAATTGGCCATAACAGCCGGAACTGCACTGATCCGAAGTCAGGAGCCAGGAACCCCTTCCAGGTATCCCACATGGGTGCAGGGGTCAAAGGACTTGGGCATCTTCTACTGCCTTCCCAGGCCATAGCAGAGAGCTATGCCACAGTGCTGGCCCCTGAAAATCAACATTTTGAGCAACTCTCACCAGAATTCCTTGTAGAAGTAGAATTGGAAATGAGATATAAGGGGCTCTGCAAGCAGGAGGTTAGATCCCACAAACCCAAGGACTTGGGTGTTACATGGTATTGGTGCACAAGAAAAAGGCAGACAATGATGATGTTAGAGAAAGACCAGAAAAGGATCTGTTAGTTCTGCAGAGAACGAGAGGAGAAGTGAGAGGAAACATGGGATGAAGCTGGAAAGAGGAACCTACAGGTTGAAGAGTACCCAGATTGCATGAAGGAGAAAACCAGTGCGGTCCCCCTTAGGGAAGTCCACAGAGGAAATCCTCAGGTGGGTGGCTCTTGCTGCTCAGTTTCAAGTTCATGTTAGGTCTTCAACGTGAACCTTTTTTTCCCCCCTCTCCATTCCAGGAATCATTTCACAAAGCCTATTCTGTTATGAGTCTTAACTGTGTTTGCTTATTTGTTTTGTAGAAATCAGAGAAGATGATTTCAAGCTTGGGTTGGAACAGAAGAGAGAGAGCAAGAGTGAAAGCAGAATTCTGAATCCAGAAGCCACAAAAATGAAGATCTTTACTTTTCCTCAGCATGCCTTATCAATCTGTAGAGAACATGAAAGGTTTTTATATTTGCAAGACCCAGGGAATTATCTGGAGGTGAACTGGTAAGTCAAACTAATGGGCTGTTGCATAACTGACATTTGGGAAACAGGAAGAAACATCTATTGCCTTCATTTATATTTTGGTTTGTGTTTTGACTTCATCTCTCGTTTGAAGAAGACATATGACAGATTTACTGTAAATCCATGCATACATCATAGCAGTCTTTTTCTTAAATATTCTTGAGGGCAATTAGGAATTAGAGGACAATTTTCTTGGAAAAAGCTTCGCTCAAGCAACATCCTGCCTCATCAACTTCAGTGGGAAAGCGTTGGAGCAGAAGTTTAATGGTGGTGAATAATTATAATCAGCTGTCCAAATTAGCAAGCCATCTGTGTGTCAGTCTCCTTACACACAAAACTTGAGGGACTGGTGGGCCAGAAAATGTCCAGTGTTACTGTGCATATTCAATGCAATGTGCTTATTCTGATATATACAGAATAGTCACTATGAATAAAGAAAAGCTTTGTAAAAAATAAGCTACTCATTGTTTTATGGTTAAAATGGATTTTCTGGATTAAGTCTGCTACCTTTTTTTTTAATTTTCCTTTCAATCTTTTCTTGGACAGGTATCTCTATTTAATTCCCTTTGGTCATGGTCAATGTCATCCAGTAGAAATCAGAAGAAATAAGTTATTAGAAACAAGGTATGGGAAAATTGGGTTTCTCAAGGGTTTGGTGATTATGATTTTTCCTTCCATAGTCAATTTTTAAAGGGTTTTTGGCCATGAAACGGTGTTGTATTTTATCAACATCTGCTTTCTCTGCATCTGTTGAGATAATCATACTTTTTTTTTTGTTTGTTCTTCAGTTTGTTGATGCCATGTTTGACATTTATTGATTTGCTTATGTTGTGCCGTCCCTGCATCCCTGGGATGATCTTTTTGATGTGTTGTTGGATTCGATTTGCTAGTATTTTGCTGAGGATTTTTGCATCTGTATACAAGAGAGATATTGGTGTATAGTTCTCTTTTTTTGTTGCACCTCTGATTTTGGGATTAAGGCAGTGCTGGCCTCTTAAAATAATTTTGTAAGGGTTTCCCCCGCCTTTGGTTGCTTCTTTCACTTGGTGATATGCATTAAAGAGTCCCATGTGTCTTTTTTGTGGCTTGAAAGCTCATTTACTTGTAGTGCTGCCTAACGTTCTATTGTCTGGAAGTCTCCTGGTTTGGTTCTCTGCTCACTCACCGAGAGATGTCTTGGTTGGTTACAGGTTTTAACAAGTATGCATAAAGCTTCCACCAGTACCTGTGATGCTCCTACGTTCCTAACTCCTTCAAGTAAGTATGAAGGAGAGCGACTGTGGGGTTGTGTGGTGAGACTATGTTTAGTTTTATAAGAAATGGTCAGACGCTTCTAAATCGGTTACCAGTATCCATTCCCTCCAGCAATGGATGAAATTTTCTGTTGCTTCGCTTCCTTGTTGTCGTTCAGTGTCGTCAGTATCCTGAATGTTGGCCATTCTCACAGGTGTGTAGTAATGTCTCACTGTTTTGAGTTGCATTTCCCCGATGATGTACGATGTGGGGCAACTTTGCATTGCTTTGCCATTTGTATATCTTCGTTGGTGAGATGTTTCTAAAGACCTTTGCTCCATCTTTTAATTAGGTTGTTTATTTTCTTAGTGCTTTAGGAGTTCTTGGTATATTTTGTATAGCAATCCTTCATCATCTATGTCTTTTGAAAATATTTTCTTGTACCCTGTGGCTTGTCTCTTCATCTATTCGTACTCTTTCACAGAGCAGAGAATTTGAATTTTAATGAAGTTGAGCTTGGTGTTATATTCAAGTGACAGCAAACTCAGGCCATCATAGATTTTCTCCTGTTATCTTCCAGGGGGTTTACAGTTTTCTGTTTAACATTCAGGCCTATGGTCCATTTTAAAAGTCAGTTTCTGTGAAGGGTACAAGGTATGTGTTAGATTCATTTTTTTGTTGTTATTGTTGTTGCCTGTGGATATCTAGTTGTGCTAAATAGCATTTTTTGAAAAGACTACTTTGGGGCATAGTGGGTAAAGCTACTGCCTGTGATGCCAGCATCCCAATGGGTGCCAAGTTGAGTCCTGGCTGCTACTTCAAATCCAGCTTCTTGCTAAGTGCCTGGGAAAGCAGAGAAGATGGCCCACGTGCTTGGGCCCCTGCCACCCGTGGGGGAGACCCAGATGAAACTCTTCACTCCTGGTTTTGGCCGGGCCCAGCCCCAGTCATTGTGCCCAACTGGAGATTGAACCAGCTGATGAAAGACCTCTCTCTCTCTCTGCCTTTCAAATAAATAAATACATCTTTTGAAAAAGATTCTTTTCTCCATTATATTCTATTTACTCCATTGCCAAAGGTCAGCAGACTATATATATATATATATATATATATATATGATATAGTCATATATATCATATATAGTATACTATATATAATATATATATCATATATAGTATATATTTGATTTATTTACTTGAAATATATGATTTATTTACTTGAAAGACAGAGTTAGAGAGGGAGATATAGAGATCTTCCATCTATTGATTCACTCCTCAGATGGCTGCAACAGCCGGGAATGAGCCAGGCTGAAGTCAGGAGCCAGGAGCTTCTTACTGGTCTCCCATGTGGGTACAGGAGCCCAAGCACTTGTGCCATCTTCTGCTGATTTCCTATGTGCATTAACAGCGAGTTAGATTGAAAGTAGAATAGCTGGGACTCAAAATGGCGCCCATATGGAATGCTGGCATTGCAAGCTATGGCTTAACCTGTGACACCACAACACTGGCCCCAAGCAGACTATATTTATGTGAGTCTGTAGTGGGACTCACTATTTTATTTCACTGATCTATTTGTCTATCCTTCACCACTACTGTCTTGATTACTGTAGGTTTACAGTAAGCTTTAAAGTCAGGTAGTATCAGTCTTTCAACTTTGTTCTTAGCTTTCCATATTATGTTGCCTGTTCTGAGATTTTTACCTCTCTGAACAAACTTTGAAATTCGTTTGTCAATATTTACAAAATTAGTTGCTGGGATTTTGATTTTGATTTATACTGAAGTATTTTCTTCTTCCTTGGTACTGACTGCTAGTTCTCTGCCCAGTTGCTTGCAATGGTTAGGGTTTTGCCAGAGCCAAAGCCAGGAGCTGGGGACTCAATCCACGTCTCCCATGTGGGTGGCAGTAACCTGGTCCCTTGAAGCATTATTTCTGCCCCCAGGGTGCACATTAACCAGATGCTGGAATTGGGAGCTGAGCCGGGACTCAAACTCAGACATTGATGTGGTATGGCAGTTTAACTACTAGCTCAAATGTTTGCCCTCAGATAATTTTTTTTTAACAATTTGAAGGAATTCCTTTGTACTGCTACTTTTATTAAGAATTTATTTTCCTTCCATGAATATGTGTTGGATTTTGTCACATGCTTTTTCTATTGATAAATACATACTTTTCAAGTACACACACCACATTACCAACATAGTCTCTGTACTGAGTTCTAAAATATTGTAACATAAGAGAATTGAAATCATATAATTTGTTCTCTGATCACAAAAATGAAATTGCAAAACAGCCAAAAGATATTTGCAGTATCTTCAGGTACTTGGTGATTAATACTTTGTATTAACACTACAGAAGCTCTATGAAATAATCACTAGTAGAGCTAGGAAATATTTTAAATAAAATGGCTGCAAAAAAAGCATAGCAAAATTGGTGAGATGCAACTAAAGCAGTGACTGAAATTTATAGTTTTAACTGTGTAATAGAAGGGAGTGCAAAATATTCTCTAAGCTCCCTCTTTCAAATGCTAAAAAGAATGAATTAAACTCCAAGTAAAAGGGTGAAAATGAAAATAAATTTGCAATCAATGAAACAAAGTCATATGCTTTGAAAAGACCAGTATAATTTAATTAAAGAACTCTAGGGAGATAAAGAAAATATGGGTATCGACTTTTGCTCTTATTTACATAAAAACCTATTAATATTAGAAATAAAGAAGAATCATTATAGTTCCTATATACATAAAAAAGGATAAATAGGGCCGGCGCCACGGCTCACTAGGCTAATCCTCCGCTTCGCGGCGCCGGCACACCAGGTTCTAGTCCCGGTTGGGGCGCCGGATTCTGTCCTGGTTGCCCCTCTTCCAGGCCTGCTCTCTGCTGTGGCCAGGGAGTGCAGTGGAGGATGGCCCAAGTACTTGGGCCCTGCACCCCATGGGAGACCAGGAAAAGCACCTGGCTCCTGGCTCCTGCCATCGGATCAGCACGGTGCGCTGGCCGCAGCACGCCAGCCGCGGCGGCCATTGGAGGGTGAACCAACGGCAAAGGAAGACCTTTCTCTCTCTCTCTCTCTCTCACTGTCCACTCTGCCTGTCAAAAAAAAAAAAAAAAAAAAAAAAAAAAAAGGATAAATAAGGAAAGCCAGAATTCTCCTTCTGCCACAACCAAATACATATTAGAAACTACAGAACATTCTTTATGAAAATAGGCACAGACCTTCTTAGCAAACAACTCAGATACATCTATGTAGGGTGAATACACCATGACCAAGTTGAATTTATTTTTGAAATGAAAATTGGTTTCACATCTGCAAATCAGTCAAATTCACAAATTTCTAAAGGTAGAAAAAGAACCCAGAAGATCATCTCAATATGTGTAGAGAACAACATATGGTTAAATGTAACACTTTTTTAAAAAAATAAAAACTAGAGATTGATGGGGATATTACCTCTCCAATAAAGCATCTGTGAAACACATACAGCTCACGGTGTTTTGAATGAAACGTCTTGATGATGCCACACGTAGCATCATCATACGTGTGGCTATGGAGCTGATAACCAACATCAGTATTCTTCTATCTTAAGAAAGGCAGAAGCAAAGTCTCACCATAACTAGTCAACACTGTACTGAGCTCTGCTGTGCTTTGTTTTTGTTTGCCTGCCCTCTGCCTACCCCAAAGGTCCACGTGCTGGAAGGTTGGCCTTCAGGGTAGCAGCATTGGGAGGGAGTATGGAATCTTTAGGAGGTGGGATCTAGTTCTGAGGTCATTTGGGGGCATCCTCTGAAGGGCAGTATTTCTCACAGGACCCAAGTGAGTTCTTGAGACAGCGCTGTTGTAAGAGCCTGAGCTTGGGCCCACCCAGCCCCTCTCCAGCTTCCTGTTTAGAGATTTGATTGTCGTCTTCTGCATGCTCCTGTCAGCTGCCTCAGGGCCCTTACAAGAGCTTGGGCAGTGCTGTTTGAACTTTCAGCCCCCAAAACTGAGGCAAATAAATCTCCTTGCTATGTAAAGTTAGCCTGTCTAGGTATTTCGCTACAGCAAGGAAGGGCTCACTCATACAAGGTCTTACCCAATTTCAATAAAACAAAATGAACTAAGAGCACTTTAATTGGAAAAGCAGTAAAATTGGCTTTATTTGTCAATAATATGACCAATTATGTATAAAATCCAACCAAATACACAAAAATGCTATTAAAAGTAATAAATGGGTATAGGTACCTGTAAACCACAGTGGCCACTGACTAGACCTGTGATTTGTAAATGGAAATGATAGGGGAGGGCATTGTGGGCACAGCAAGGTAATCTCCATATCGGATGGCTTGGTTTGAGTCCTGGCTACTTCCTGCTTCCAATCCAGCTTCCAATTCAGGCCCCACTCGGCTGTCAACCCATGGGTCTGAAGGGGACTCAGGAGCAGCAGAGCAAAGTCACATCAGCCTCTCTGGTGGAAGTACTAATGCACCTACGAGGCAGCAGACGATGGCCCAGGCGTTTGGGTTTCTACCACCCACCTGGGAGACTTGGACTGAGTTCCAGGCTCCTGCCTTTGGCCTGGCCCAGCCCCAGGAATGTCTATTTGGGAAGTGAATCAGTGGATGGAGGAGATTTCTGTCTCCATTTCTCACTCTCCCCTCTGACTCTTCCCTACTCACCTCCTTTTGTTGCTTTGCCTCATCAATCAATAAATCTGTCAGCGTTAAAAGTAATGTAGACATACAATGAAAAAATTGAAGTAACAGAATCCAGATTATTTGGAGACTGGTTCTCCAGACACAGCTACCCCTTTCCATCTGAGTATCTAATTGTAACTGTGTTATACCCATGAACACCACAATTGAATCAGCTTTATCTCACTATAAAATCTCAACAACCTGACTTAAATTCTTGTGCATTTTGTTAGCTGCATACATTAATTAGCCAATAAAAACATTTGGGGGAAAGAGTGATGAAAATATATTGGATTTGTTTATGAAACTTAGTCCACATAATACTTCTAATCCCAGAACTCCGTTAATTCATGTCATGTTTGAGGGAAAATGCTGGTGGGACATTGTTGCATTGTAGGTAGAATTACTCTCCAATATATTTCACTATCATTCCCCCATTTTGGAAAACATGGACTAAGCATTATATGTTGGTACAAAAATCAACATACTGATGTTATTTTTTAATAAGCAGCATTTGCACTTATTACTTCAGCCAATGCCATATCTGGGAGTTAATGCATTTAAAAGACAGTTTGGGAGAACACTGTATAGTGTTGTGATAACCAACAGAAAAATGTCCTCATTGGTTAGTTATTTATTAGTTCATTAGCAAAATGCAACTTTTTAGGAGACTAGAATCTAAACATCTCAGGACATTTCTTTCATCCATTTTTGAAAATAACACCTTGTGCATTGGTACTTCCATGAAGTCTCACTCCCTCAGGATTCATATATTGTAAATCTGCCAAACTGCCTTAAGAGTACATGATCCTTAGTATTTGAAGGGATGAAGAACTAAAGATGAGAGTTAATGGCTAGAAATTGGTAGCGAGTTAAAAGCTTTCTTCTTGGAACGAGATGAAGGATTTTATAACCTATCAACAAAAAGAGAGCCAGGTTGGTGCCTTGTCATTTAATTCCATTTTATTGCAAAAATATCTGTATATCTATGAAAATATGAACCAAGTTTCAAGGCAAGGAATTAAGTGCATATTTGTGGTGTATAAATATTTGAAAGGTATAAATAGCAGGAACAAGCAGGTTTTCATGTGGGACTTGAAACAGAGCTATAAACTGAAAGCAAACAAAAATGTCACTCAAGTATGTAGAAGAAATGTTTTTCCATGGATAATTGTTTCTAGTAACTATTTTGATATGAAATTCAATACCTAGTGTTTTTTTGTGTATCCCTAAAGTTTTAATTAGCCTTGGCCCACTTGGAAACAGAGGAGCTAAGTGAGTTAGACGTTTTGAATCTCAGGAAACCAAACTAGAGCAGGTTAACTGGGCTTCTAACCGTAAAACATCCCACACGGATAGGAGACGCTTTTGGAGATGGAGTTCTGGCGCTGTCGTCAATGAGATGTTGGAATGGT